AGATTCCAAATCACACTTCCATATTGCCAAAGGAAGCAGGTATCATACAGTCCCCATACAGTCCCATTTCAAGGAATCTAGATCAGGTTGGTACATATAAAATCTTCACAAAGTCTTCATAAGAACTTATAACACCAGAGACAGTTACTGAACAAATAACTATGAGATTAAACTCAGATAAAGAAGTTCAAATTCAGGATGCCTGGGTGGCTCAGAGGTTGAGCTTCTGCCTTCAGCTCAGGGTGTGATCCTGGAGTCCCAAGATCGAATCCCTCATCGGGCTTCCTGCATGAAGCCTGCTTCTTTTTCTGCCTCTGTCTCTGCCTCTCTCTCTCTCTCTGTCTCTCATGAATAAATAAATTAAATCTATATTTTTAAAAAAAAGCCCAAATTCCAGAAGTACTTAGCTTAGCACCTGCTGGTTTGCCTGTGATACCCTGGATGCCCATCCCTGGTTGGAACAATCCAGATCTCCAGGTCCTTCTCGGGCCCACTCCCCCTCTCTACAGAGAGGGACATCCCCAACTTCACTCATCAGTCAAGGTTAATTTAGCAACAGCTCAGCTTCTGGTCTAGAGTAACCCAAGTAACACTAGGGACAAAGATGTATGGGGGAGGTAGCGAGGTTTGATGACATGTCTCATGCAAGCTGAGAAGGTGCAAATGAATGGGACATATATACTTAAATTAATGGGAAAGTATGAGCGTTCTTTGTCACTTAAGGGGCTGCTTTGGATAGCAGTTGGAGACACATTTTAAATTTCTGAGAGAACCAATTTCATACTCATTGTTCTCATTTTTTTTTTTTTGCTACTCTTCTTTATCTTTTTTGTTTGTTTGGTTGGTTGGTTGAAAGTCTTAGCTGATTCTCTTAATTAGAAGGGTATCTGCTAACAAAAAAGTCAACAAATTCACAGGAGACAAAAGACATTCTTGGTTTGATTGCTCCTAATAAACTTCAGTGCTTCCAGACCACATAATGTCATAGAGTTATTTGTAATGCTTCTTTAAAAGGGTGACAGGGTTCAGAAATAAACTGCACATGGTAAGAAGAACCTCCCATGGGTTATCCCTGCAAAATGAGTTGCAAGGCTTTGGGAGTGGTGGTGGTTTCCGGCCATTAGCATTACTAATCAAGGCCAGCCTTGCATTTATGGGAATCTACACAAACCAGGATGATACATGCTATGTTCACTCAAGCAACCCTGCCTGATTTCTTCAAGGTTATGCTCAAACAAAACTTTACTCCAATTATCTTTGATTGTAATGCTTCATTATTTTTATATGTCCTAGGGATAGAGTCCATGAAGTAGATGCATTAGGTCCATGAGTCACAAAAATCATATTTCGTGCTTCATGCCTACATAAAGCAATTACTGTCAACTCTCAATTAACCTCGTTATCAGAGGAAGCATTAGTGGAGACAATACAAATCCTGGATAACCTACCCATGTCTTTCTTGCTGCCACAGTTGCAGCTGAGGTGAGAAAGAGAGAAAGAGAGAGAGATAATGGGAGCGCCAGGCAAAGCGTGAGGCTAAGAGGTCTCTTCTGGAAAATTTGAGCAGAGGTGCCACTCTGCCCTTTTATCATGTCCCTTGCCTTTCTGCCCTGCACCAGGAAGCAAAAATAACATTACTTTCCTTGCAAACTTCTGGCTGACAAACAAAAGGTAAGGAGCAAAGGAAGCCAGGAGAAAGTGTGTGGGGGTGGTGGTGGAGTACCCTGCAATGCTGGCAATCCCTGGCAGCCCGGAGGCCTCTGGGGACCACAGGCAGTTCTACACAGGGGCTGTGCACCTTGATCCTTATCCTTAGGAAGATTGAGCTATTCCCAAGGCTCTCAAGGCACAGGGCAAGTACTCAGGTCTTTTGTTCTTTTGGATTTTGATTGTGTCACCCAACATGGTCAAAGGTGTTTAATTACAAATGTCATAATTAATCATTTGCACATATGATAAGCATTCTTACACTAGAGGTGCCTACAGGTATAAGGACATGCCCATCAAATCAGGTGCTAGGCATTGATGCTCTTCCTATCCTTCAGATGAAATGAACCCACTGAGCCGGGCACTGTTATCCCAGGCTGGGAGCCACAGGAGCACTGAAGATGCCACCTCTTCAAGTGATTCCTAGTGGCACTGCTCCAGGAAGGGTTTGCATTTTAACAAGGAAGCAAAACCGCAGTGATAAAACCACACTGAAATTCCAGATCCTAGTGAGGAACTGGTGGTATGGGAGAGACATAGGAGGGGTGGGGGAAAAACTCTGAAGTCACAGCATAGACAAGAGCACACTGGAAAGGAAAACTAGGAAATTACCTTGGGGAAAGAAAGATGAAAAATCATAAAATTATGTTTTAATGAAAAAACAGTTTGAGTTAAAATGATTATAAAGAGACAAATTCATGTCCTTTGTAAATATGACTTGGCTACAAAATGAATGGGGTCTGGCTGGAAAGAAGTCATTTATCAGTTTTTTGCCTCCGAATGAATTTCTGTGTATTAGCTTGAGAAATCAGGAAAATAGATGCAAAAAATCAAAAGACAGAGTTAGAAGCAGTGGAGGGGCACCTGGGTGGCTCAGTGGTTGAGCATCTGTCTTTGGCTCAGAGCATGATCCCAGGGTTCTGGAATCGAGTCTCACATCGGGCTCCCCACAGGGAGTCTGGTTCTCTCTCTGCCTATGTCTCTGCCTCTCTCTGTGTGTCTCTCATGAATAAATAAATAAAATCTTAAAAAAAAAGGAAATAGTGGAAAACACAAGATTTCAGGAGAATACTGGCCAGAATTCTTCCTAATACCAAAGAAAAAGAGACAGAGAAAAATAATAATAATAATAATAATAATGGAAGATTATGAAAAATATAAATATTGACTATAAAATATCAGTGGGTAAGCCAAAAATAAAAGTCAAAGAAATAAGTGAAAGTGCTCATCTGATTGACTGATTCATTATTCTTTAAATTCTCTGGATGCTCATCAGCTAGGGCAGGTACATATATACCCAATGAAATGTGATGTTATGACTTCTGGGTTAAAAACGAGGGGTGAAATTAAAGGTGTAATTACTTCTCATCCCCTTTTCAAAACACAGAGATAACAACAATAGTGAAACAGAGAAAAGTATCAAATGTAATCAAACAAGCAAGCAAACAAAAAGTCCCCCATCCTTTTTACACATCATGAAGCATACATGGACCCAATTCAGGAAGGACAGTGAAAACTGACAAATATCTCAAGTCTCAAGCAGGTGCAAAAAGTTTCTGGCCAAAGTAATGTCAAAAACGTCTAACGGGCATATGCCATGTGCTTTTGATGAGAGTGGCAAGAGGCACAATTTAAGCCCTAGAGACACAGTTTTGACACTGTGTAACAGAGGGAGAGGCAGAGCTAAGAAAAAATGTGTTAATATTGTATTCCTATTTACTTTTGTATTGTGTTACTGTATCCCTTCTTGCCAAAGAAGATTTCCAGAGGCAATGACATGCCTATAGAAATTCCAAGGGGATAAACCAGTAAAAACAAACAATACACAGACTTGGATTTTCTAGATAATTCTTTCATACACAGAGTATAAATCTTTATACTTTATGCCAGTGGAAATTTTCCCTTAGATGATTATTCTGATAGAAAGTATCTGAATTTTATATGTCAAGTCCAAAGAAGGAAATACTACATAATACGGAAAGCATCTAACTCTGTTAGGTTAAGCAACTGAATTTGAGAGATTTGCTAGATGGTTTCAATCTAAGCACTCATTTAGGTTTTCAAAGGAAAAAGACAAGGGAGTGAGCAGAGGAGTGTGACCAGATTATAAGAATTTCCTTGCTTTGCTCTCAAGAGTGAAGGACTACTTCATCTAAGAAAATACAATTCAGCACATAGAAAAAGCAATTCAGTGATAGTCTGGGTGTTCACTAATTGGTCTTAGAACAAGTGTCTTCTGTAAGCTACAGATTTGGCAAATAATAAGAGCCACTGGAAGGATTTAAAAAAACAACTTTCCAACTCTGTCTACCATGAAACTTTCATTTTGTACATATGCTAGACCAGATCACCTGGGCTTCGTTTTTCCTGTACGTCGGTTGACAAAGGAAAGGTCTGAATTTGAATTAGGTAACACACTCTTCCTTGTCTTCACAGTTTGAGATTTACAGTTCTCTCTCTTTTCCTGGCTATGCACAAGTTAAAATCTATAGGATCTCATGGCTCCCTGGCCCTTTAAATGAACACAGTGTATGTATGGACAATGGATGATTAATGGGCTCATGAGGGAAGTCAAGAAATGGACTTTTTCTAACTATTTTCTAACTGAAAATAATGAAAATCAATGAAGCCAGAGCAGACCCAAGCATTAAGCAGCATTTACTTAAGTGATATTAGGCAATGGTACAGTTGGGTGAGCAAAGCAGTATAAGCTAATACTGACCTCCTCTCCCAAGCTCAAAAAATTCAAGATTGGTCATAGACCCAAGGACCATACATTTCAAGTTTGGATTGCCAAAGGAATGGTTATGGGTTAAACTGTGTCTCCTTAAAATTCATATGTTGAAGTCCTAACCCCCCAATATGTAGGAATGTGACTGTAATTGGAGGTAGGGCCTTTAGAGAAGCAATGAAGGTTAAATGAGGTCATGGAGGGGCCCTGATCTGATATGACTGATGTCTTGATAGGAAGAGGAGATAAGGTCATGGACACATGTGTGAGGAGGGTATGTGAGGACACAGGAGGAGGAGGCCATTTATGAGCCCAGTAGAGAGGCCTCAGAAGAAATCAACCTTGTGGATGCCCTGCTCTTAAGATTTCTAGTCTTCAGAACTGTGAGGAAAAAAAAAAATGTTGGTTGTTGAAGCCTCCAAGTCTGCAGTGCTTTGTGATGGTAACCCTAGCAAACTAATTCAGAAATCTGCTATATAATCAGCCCTTCTTTTTCTTTTACAAGCCTGAAAGGAGACCCAAGTTTTCTTTTGTGGTTAGATGCATTCTACGTCATACTCACAACCCCAACAGGAAAGGCCAGTACAGCTAACATCCAGTCCCGGAGTGAGATGAGCTTCTTGAGCTGCCTTTCTTGTTCTTGGTTCCCACTTCCTCTAGTCAGGAGACTGGAAAGATCAGTCAGCACACAAATGCCGAAAAAGACAGCCTGGATGACCTGGAGGGAGACAAGAGCTGGTGTTATGAAGACCAAAGACCTAAAGAGGCCCAAGCTGTAGGACAGCCAACCAGCAACAACTCTGTAACAGGATACATGATAAAAGAAGACTGGAAGCATACTTAAAGAGCTGGCCTACAAATGTAAAAGACCTTACAACGACTTTCTTTACAAAAGGCTATCATAGATGAGAAAATTCATCCTAAAAACACTGCTTCCCTTTTGGCTCATTTCAGTTCAAATGTGAAATAAGCACACACATACATGTCTAAAGAGGCCCAACAGAAAGTAGTATCAAATATCATAAGGATATGTCCATTATTTTGAAAACATCTTATCTGCGATCTAGTTATATTGACCAGTGGGGTTTAGTGAACATCTAAGAAGCGCAAAGAAAAGAATCAGGGTAGCCTGAATATTAAATAAGACACTTTTGTCTGAATGTGAAGAAAACTTCCTATGCTTTAATCGCCTAGATTTAGAAATTTTCTCACCAAAGGAAGTGTTTCTCACCAAAGGAAGTCCTTGAGCCATAGAGAAATGAACTGAATGCAATAATTAGAGCTGTACAGAGTGATTTTCTGTTGTCAAACCTAAATAAGACCTCCTTCTCAGGTTTTCTGTTTCTATGAAATAAAATCTTCCCAAAGTAATATAAACAGAGATACCTGCACCATATTCCCCAAAATGCTTTCAGTTGTACATTCCCAAATCAATTACAAATTAAATTACTTACTTCAGCTACATGTAACTTGGACTATCACAGTGGGGAGGACACTAAAACACTGTAATTCCGTAATATGTGAAATTCCCAAAGTGGGTGGAAAAGTATTGATGATCCAGAGCTGTGAGTAGAGGCAGAAAGCATACTGTCACATGGCTTGTCACATGATATTTCAAATTATGGAAAGGGCAGAAAATAGAGTCCCTGGGCTCAAAACGACGTCCATTTAGCACCAAGAATAGATTCAGGGTAATTTTTCTGACTTCTATCTGAAATAATTTACTGATGGTATATTTGTAAAAGATACAATTTTACTCATTACCTCTTTAGAAAACAAAAAGTTTTATGCAAAATTCCATGTTGGCAGTGGAAAGAATCTGTGATTGAATGGATGAGTTCCTCACTGCGGCACAGAACAAAGGGAAGAAGGACCCTCAAAATTCCCTGGTTCCATCCTTTAGCATAACATGACACACTCAGATTGTTCATCATTCTGTTCAAATTCTTATCTAAGCCATTTTGAAAATTCTGAATAAAGGAGATTCTATTGCTGGCCTTAGTCAAATAAACAAAAATCCTGCAATATTTTACAATCACTGGGCTCTTCCAAGCCTACCAAATACCGCCATTATTAGCCAATCTTAGCTAGAGTATAATGTTATATTCCTTCTCATAACTTAGCCTGTCTTTTAGCTTCAGTGACTTAAAGTTTATTGTTATTCTTTCTATAACCAGAAAAACCAGAATGGGAGACGGTGAATCTGCCATAACTGAGTATGGCTCAACTGAAGAGTTGGCAAGAATCATGTTGTGATGACCAGAAATAATTTCAATGACTCAGGGAATAATTTCACAGTTAGGAAAACTTTCCATACCATATCTTATCACTTTAGATGTTTGACCTTTATGTTAAACATAAAGAAATTGGAGTGGCCAGGCTGGGGAATAATAATCTCCATGCCAATTTGGCTAGTGAGCATATTAAAAGATGTCATACCTGATCAATTACCAGGGAAATGCAAATGTAGACCACAATGAGATAGCATTTTTCACTCATATAATTATTTGTAATTTAATTCTAATAATACCACTGGTTATAAGTATGTTCTGCATACTTATAATATGGGAATGCAAATTTGGATGACCCCTTTGAAGAATAGTTGGCAATATCTAGTGATATAAAGATGCATAGACTCTATTATCTAATGACTTCATTACAGAGGGTATTTCCTTACTGAAACTCTCATACATGTGTTCTTGTCACATGCATACAAAAGTTAATTTCTGCATTCATTCCTTCAAAAAAGTCAGCCTATATGTCTCAATTATTGACTGGATAAATAAACAGTGCTATATTCATTGAGTGGAATTCTAAGTACATATAAATTTTTAATTCTTACAACAAAACATTAAACAAAAAAAGGGGGGGAGTTACAGTTTGATAGTATTAAAATAAATTTCAAAAAAATTAATAGCACTCAGTTCAGGTACCTCTACCAGGAGTATAAGACTTGGGGTACCTTGGTGGCTTAGTTGGTTAAGCATCAGACTTTGGCTCAGGTCATGATCCCAAGATCTTGGGATCAAGCCCTACTTTGGGCTCCCTGTTCAGCAGGGAGCCTGCTTCTCTCTCTTCCCTCCACCCCTCCCCCTGCTTGTGCACACAAACTCTCTTTCTCTCTCATATTTTCTCTAAATAAAGAAAATATTTAAAAATAAAAAAAGGAGAATAAGACTAGAGGAAGACACAAGGGCCTCAACTGTATTAATAATACTTTATTTCTTAAAATGATTATGTATATAGAAGCTTGTATTATTTTCTATGTACTTCATTATTATTAAATATTTCCAAATAACTTAAAAGTAAAAGGTAAAAAACAGTGGTTTTCATACTTTGGGGATGTAGTTGGCTAGTCTCTTTCACTTGCTTTCCTTCTTAACTCAGTTTTCTCTATTTTATAGATGGGCTAGTAATAGCAGGATTTAGTGAGCTCCAAATTAAGTGAATTATAAAATTTCATGATCAAGTATCTACTCCCAGAGTTGCCTTCCCACCATAAACAACTAGACATTTGAACTAAATATATAAATCAGGTTTTTCATATATTGAACTTTTTCCTCTGCAATAAGTCAAAGAAATCTTTTTTTAATTAAATGCCTCACCTGATGAAGTCAGGCCCACCTTAAATAATTCTCTTTTTGCCACATAAATTAATATAATTACAGAATTGGTTGTATTCACAGGATCTTCCAAAACCCCATGGAAGGAGATTATACAATGGTGAATATTGCTGAAAGCCATTTTATTATTCTACCTACCACAAACTGTGGGTTAAACAATTTTCAGAGCTCACTCAGAATGAAGAGTTCTTCAAATTCTGACCAGAGAGGCCTTATTGACTACAAGCATTCAGTAGTCTGAGACCTAAGAAGTTTATTACCTAAATAGTGATGCTAAAGTAGCCTTGAAATAAAAGCTACTTTATATCCATCCCCAAAATTCTTAAGAGCAAGGATCAAAATATACATATATATCAAATTAATCTACAAGTAAGCTAAATACTTGCAAAAACATAATTCTACAATTTCTAAAGAAATATACCAAAATCCAGACATTCAACAATATCCAACATTATAAAATTCAACATATAATAAATTACTAGACTTTCCAAAAAGGTAAAAAAAAAAAATTCTTAACCAAAAGGAAACCAATGAAATAAAAACAGACATTGAAATGACAGAAGTATTGGAATTAGGAGATAGGAACATAAATCACTAAATTAAATAAGTTCAAGAAGTTAAATGAAAATAATGAATGGGGAGAAAAAGACATTTAAAAGAACCAAATGGAACATCGAAAAATTAAAGATGCTTCCTGAAACTTAAAAGTCACTGAGTGAAATAATAGTGCATTAGATGTTGCAGAAGAAATATTTTAAAAATTGAACATATAGAAATATAAATTATCCAAAATGGATCAGAAAGAAAGAGATTCTAAAAATCAGCTGAATTTCAGTGAACTGTGAGAAAATGTCAAGCAGTCTAATCTGTGTATATTGAAGCTCTAACAAAGCAGGAAAGGGGGCATGTAGAAAAAGTATTAGAAGAAATAACGGTGGAAGTTATTCCAAAACTTCATGACATTTTCATGTAAACTATAAACCTACAGATCTAAGAAACTAAACAAATGGAGTATACTCAAAGTCACATCAAGGCATAGCACGATCAAATGCTGAAAATCTGTGATAAAGAAGAACTCTTAAAAGCCACTGGAGGAGGGGCTCCTGGGTGGCTCAGTTGGTTCAGGGTCTGACTCTTGATTTCAGTTCAGGTCATGATATCAAGGTTGTGGGGTCAGGCTTCACATTCGGCAGGGAGTATGCTTGATGATTCTCTCCCTTTCCCCACTCATGCATGCACACATTCTCTCTCTCCCTCTTTTCTTTAAAAAAGCTTCTGGAGGAAAAAGACATATCACATACACAAAAATAAAGAAGAAATTTCACAGACTTTTCATATAAAACAACACAAGCCAGAAAACAATGGAATAATACCTTTCCAATAAGGGGGAAAATTTCTCAAAGGTGGAAGACTTTTTCAGACTAACAGAAGCTGAAAGAATTCACTGTCAATAGATTTTTCACTACAGGATATGTCAAAGGAAAGGAAAATATGATACCAGATAATAACTTTCAGTCTATAGCAAGCAATGATAATTGCTAAAAATTAGTAAATATGTGGATAAAATATAAAAGATCTACCTTTTGTTTTTTAAAGATAATTGATGCAAAAATATGAGAAAATATTGTAAGGATTTAAACATATTTGGAAATAAAATTATGACAACAGCACAAAGAAAGAAATGGAAGGCACAGGTTGTTGAGTTTTTAATTTTATATAAAGTAGCATAAGGTTATTTGGCAGCAGATAGTGATAAGTTAAAGATGTATACTGTAAACCCTAGAGGAACCACTGAGAAAATAAAATGATCTTCAGCATTAGTTGTATGTGCTACATAACAAATTACCACAAATTTAGCAGCTTAAAACACCATGAATTTATTTTTCACAGTTCTGTAGATCAGAAGTCCAAGTGGGTTAGTCTGGTTTCTTTTTTTTTTTTTTATTTTTTTTTTAAATTTATTTATGATAGTCACAGAGAGAGAGAGAGAGGCAGAGGCACAGGCAGAGGGAGAAGCAGGCTCCATGCACCGGGAGCCCGACGTGGGATTCGATCCCGGGTCTCCAGGATCGCGCCCTGGGCCAAAGGCAGGCGCCAAACCGCTGCGCCACCCAGGGATCCCTAGTCTGGTTTCTATGCCATCAAAATCAAGATATTGGTCAAGCAGGGTTCTTACCTGGAAGCTCAAGGAAAGGAGCTTCCTAGCTCATTCTGGCGGTTAGTAGAATTCAGTCCCTTTTGAGTATAAGACTGAGGTTCATACTTCTTTATTATGTGTGGGCCAGTCATTCTCAGCTACTTGGATCTGCTCTCTACCCCTTGTAACTGCTCCCACCCCTCAATCCTCAAATCCAGCAACAGAATATCAGATTCCTCTGGTGCTTCAGATCCCTCAGACTTTTTCTTCTGCCATCAGTCTGAAAAAGCTTTCTACCTGTAAGGACTCATGTGATAAGATCAAGCCTACAAGGGTAATGTCCTAATGTGAACTGTGCTATGTATCATAATACAATCAGAGAAATTATATTTCATTAATTGACAGGTTCTTAGGGTTAAAGTAGGGCATCATTGGGGGCCAATTTAGAAATTTTGTCTATCTCAGCTAAAAAGCCAATACTGGAAATAAAATGGAATACTAACAGTACATTAGGGTAATGCAAAAGAAGTCAGAAATTGGGAAAAAGAACAAAGACTAGACAAGACAGAAAAAAAAAACAGTAAGATCTCAGACCTTAACCCAATAATGCCTCTAATTACATTAAATACAGATGGTTTAAACTCTCCCAGTTAATATCATAGATTGACAGACTGCATTTAAAACACAAACAAAAAGCACTTTAAGTAAATAGATATGGATTTGTTAAAAGTAAATGGATGTAAATACCAATTGTAAGAAAGCTGGAATAGCCATACTAATATCAAAAAGTAGGTTTCAAGATAAAGGATGTTACCAAAAATAAAAAGAAACATTTCATAATGACAAAAGGTAATTCATTAAGAAAACATGATGATCTTAAAAAGTAAAAACTAATTTAATATGGGACTAAATTATTCAATAAATGATAATAATTTAATAATAAATAATTCATTGATTCTTGGGAAACAGGTGCTCTTATGAAGATTTGAAAGGAAAGGAAAGGAGAAACCTTAAAAATGCAAAAAAAATAACTAAGAAGAGAAGCAGAATCTCATATTCTAGAAGAGAAAAAGAAAAGTAATTCGGCAAATACAAATGTAACAGTTCTAAATAACAGTTTGCCAAACTCGTAAGATTAATGGCATTATGATGTCTTTTTTTCAGATTTTATTTATTCATGAGAGACACAGACAGAAAGGCAAAGACATAGGCAAAGGGAGATATAGCACTTAATCCCAGAACCCTGGATCCCAAAGGCAGATGCTCAACCACCAGGTGCCCCAGTATTATGAAGTCTTATACCCTTCTACAGTTGATCCATCTTCTTATCCAGTGGTGTCATCTAACATAGCAGTCCCTTCACTATTACTTGGTACCTACCCTGTCACTGTCTGTAGACCTCTCCACTGGCTGTCCCCAGCTTGTGACCACAGTACGGCCCCCATCTCACCTGAACTGCTATAGAAGACTCCTCCAATCAGTGTGTGGAGGTCAGGGAAAGGAGGTACCACAAAATGAATTTCTCCTCATTTCCAAACATCAGGAGACAGAGCGAAAATTGTTGGGTTTTGTTAGTTGTTTTGTTTTGTTTTGTTTTAATTCACATTGGCTGATTTTCAAAAGATAATCTCTAAAAATTTTAGAACAGTCCACCATTCTCTACAGAGAAGTACAGACTGACTTTTGGTTATATTGTTCATTTAAGCAGTCAGCCAATACTGTTTAGCTAACACTTTAGATTCTGCTACTTTATTAGAATTTGATTTGAGCTAACATCCAACAAATCATGTTAGAAACATTTTACTCTATTGCCTAATATGTAGCATGTTGTCCACTGCAACTTAAAATTCATTAAATTAACTTAAGAATGTGAAAGTCATATGGAGATGCACAAGTGAATCTTAAGTAGGATTACCTTGAAGCATTATTTAGTTCCAGCCATTCTGCAGAGCTGGCATTTCCAAACCATCAACTCAGCATGACACATACATACACCATCTGGCTTTGAGTTCTTAGCAGGTTGGCTGCTCTTATTATTTTGTATCATATGTAGAAATGAAGTGGTCAAATGTACCATATCTCTCCAAGAAATATAAATGGGAATTTATCAAAATGAAAAAAAATCCCAGAATATTTTGAACTCACTCTAATATTTGTTCCTCTAGAATGTTCTCTACTGTTGAGTAATTCCTTCTGCATTTTCTCTCCACCCCCTCAACTCTGTCAAGAAATAATATTTACTGAGTCATTTTAGGTTTAGGATTCAATTCCACAAGTATGGAAATGTACCCAAATTTCATTCATACTCTTATCTTTTCTTACCCATGAGTGGTTTTCATTAAATTAATATTATTTTCCTTTTTTCTCTAGAATGCACTAAACTATTAAATTCTGTTTCTAGCATAGGGCAAATTTGTTAGACTTCTACCATTTATTCCCAAAAATATATGATATGGTTTATCCAGAATAGGTTTTATTTTATTTCATTAGATCATCTTCAATGTCCCCAATCATATGTAATTACACCAAAGCTTTAGTCTGTATATTGGGGTATGTCATTACTATAATTAGTTGCTAATTTACATTTCCGTCTAACAGACTAATCTCAAGCAAGAACAAAGAATGCACCAAAGTAGGAAACACAGCATTTTAAGTAAGAAATACAAATCATTGTTTATATGAATTTTTAAAGACCACAGTATGGCTATCTTGACCATTGGGAGTAAGACCTCCAATGACTTATATGTATCATGTACCATTTATTTATTATACTGGATTTTGTAAGATTATCATAAGAATTCCATAATATTCGAACATTTTGCTAATTTTAAAGTTGACTGAGACATGGTAGAAGAAACAAGAAGACAGAACTCTAAGGGGTAGCAATGGATACTGGAGTAATGTGGATCACGGGCTGAAAGAAAACTGGAAAGAACAGATGGAAAGAAGGCAGTAAGATTTATAGGTGTCATAAACAAGGTCCTGGAGGAGGCCCTTGTATGAGGATAAGAGCATTAATTAAAAGGAGATTTAGATAAAGAATAAAGCAATTCATGGCAATATCTGTGTTCAATGAAGAGTGAATTTGACTGAAGGAGTGAACATGTGGAAAGGATATAAGGGCCATAAAAATAGCAGTACTATAAAACACAATCTTCAAGGGATTCCCCCTGTATTCCACAAGTATCATACTTTTTAAAAGCACATAATTCCTTCCCCTTGTTACTAAGATCAAGAGCGAATGCCAGAAGTATTTCAGCGCCATGAGACAGTGACTCAGTATGAAGTCAAATGAGTGAATTCTGCAAGGATCTCCTTTGCATTTGTTTCCAGTGCCTTCCTTGCCTAAGACATCTGAGTATCTGTAGCAATTCTCCGACAGCCCTGGAAGTCCGTCAACTACAGGGAGACCATAGACAGTTACATTTTTGGATGCTCCTTTGTAGAGAAATCAATGCATTTACAACTACCACAGGCTCTCTCTGCCTCTCTTATCCACTGAGACCCTCCCCAACAGATGCACTGGCTGGTGAATTTTCCCCTAAGGCACTGAACAAGCCAACATGGTTCTCTCACTAGAGACTGTAACTGTTTTGCTAAATCTGCCATTTAAGTGATGTGCTGTAAGCCCAAGGTTTTTCAAGAAATCTTCACCGCAAACATTTTTGAGGAGATGGACTCACTGTATCATCAAGCCAGTGGTTTTCAGAATGTGATTTAGAATCCTTGCCCATGTACACAGACATTTACCTCATGCTGCTCTATCTCATTACTGAAAATCGATGAAGTAAGCCATAAGTCACCACTGGCAAGCAGTCCATTCAGACAGACAGAAAGAAAAATAAGCTTTTCAGTTAGAAATAACGCGCTTCAATAAGCAGCTTTTGGAAAGAAAAGCCTGTCAACAAAATTGATTACAATATCCCGTAATTGCTTTCAATATATAAGGAGCAAGGAGAACAGTCATCTAAAGAAGGCATTTGGATATGCTCCACAAAGGAATGGGTGCAATCATACCATGTTCCAGCAACAATACTTTAATGTTCTATTAAAAGTATAGCAGGGACCTTTCCAGGGACTCCACTCACATCTGCAAATAAAGGCAGAAATTTCCCCTCAGGTGTTCTCACTGCGCTTCACTGATACCATGAGCTACTGAAAACTTGTGTTGGCTTAAAGATTTTTTAAACTATTAGTATTAACATGAATCCCTTTTGAACACTGGATTAAACACACCATTGATTTATTTAACAAATATTTATTGATCGCTATGTATGAAGTCAAATGAGTGAATTCTGCAAGGATCTCCTTTGCATTTGTTTCCAGTGCCTTCCTTGCCTAAGACATCTGAGTATCTGTAGCAATTCTTCGACAGCCCTGGAAATCCGTCAGCTACAGGGAGACCATAGCACTTAGTGAACTAGTAATGTAGAAACAGACTATGAAATGATTGTGCGTTGAGCTACAATTTCGAATGTGCTTAGAAGTGTCTAACCTCTAATTTGGTGGACTCCACATCTGTTAAACACATTATATCTAGATTTAAGCATAATAATAGTGATAACCAATTATTAAAAAAATGTTGTGTCTTAACCCTGTCCTGGAGTACATTTCATTTTCTAATATTGTAAAATGTTATCCCACTATCTTCTTACTCATTTCAGCAGATGATTTAAGTGCCAACCTAATCATTAAAGAGCTAGATAAATCTGAAGACTACATTTAAAAAGGACCTTGATCTGAATTAAGAGAAAATCAGATATTGATTAGATGATATAAAATCAGATAATCATATATAACCTGTGCAAAATCTATATATAATGACATATATATTAAAAACATATACATATATACACATGAAATTGTGTTAATAAAACCTATTAGGAAGACAAGGCCCCTGTTCTTAGAAGTTTCTATTTTCAATATTTAATAATCTATTGATTTTGCTCTAACATTGAGTCTACAAAAAGGCTACGTTTCTACAATTGTGATTAACTACTCGGCAGGGAACTAACTGAATGGTTAACACAGTTATGAAGACACTTTACTGTTTCTAGATACTGATTTCTGCCTTCAGAAACAGATCTTCCAGACAAAAGTTTCTGGATGGCTTTGAGAGATCTCACTCCCTATCAGCCAGTATTTGCTCATATTGGACATTGTTTTACCATATTCACTAGTTTAATATATCCTTTTCAAGTTTACTGTTACAGAGCCTAAAGAGTAGAAGATGAATCATTCATTTCTATTGTCCACTAGTTCATGTAAGACTCCACAATATTTACCTCAAGATTGGTAATATTAATTAAATCCCAGAGCCCTTACAGTTTAAGAAAGTATGAAACTAGTGCTCAAAGAGTCCTCCCACCATCCAACTTAAGTAACAATGAAAATGTCAGAGATGGGATCCCTGGGTGGCGCAGTGGTTTGGCGCCTGTCTTTGGCCCGGGGCGCGATCCTGGAGACCCGGGATCGAATCCCACGTCGGGCTCCCGGTGCATGGAGCCTGCTTCTCCCTCTGCCTGTGTTTCTGCCTCTCTCACTCTCTCTCTGTGACTGTCATAAATAAATAAAAATTAAAAAAAAAAAAAAGAAAATGTCAGAGATGTCTGGGTGGCTCAGCAGTTGAGGGTCTGCTTTCAGCTCAGGGTGTGATCATGGAGTCCCGGGATCAAGTCCCACATCAGGCTCCCTGCATGGAGCCTGCTTCTCCCTCTGCCTGTGTCTCTGCCTCTCTCTCTCTCTCTCTCTCTCTCTCTCTCTCTCTCTCTGTGTGTGTGTGTCTCTCATGAATAAATAAATAAAATCTTAAAAAAAATGAAAATGTCAGACAAAATTGAAGGTCCCTAAGACATTTTATAATTTCATTAATGACACAGAAAAGTCTGATAGTACCAAGTATGGGAGATGATATGGAACAAATTAGTGGGAGTATAGCTTGGTTTAATCACTTTCAAAAACAATGGTATTACCTAGTGAAACTGAGGATTCATTTACCTATGAATGGTTTTATGTATGTCTCCTGGAACCTAGAGTACAAAACTTGGAATGAGATCGGAGATTATAGCTTTCATCCTTCAGTCTACTGTTAAAAAAAATGGTACCATTATTTATTACAGTAAACAAAGAAATACATACAATTCTCACTTAGGTAACAATGTAAATATAGACATTATTTTTTAAATGAAGTTATTACCTTTAAGTTTCTCTTAAGAAACAAGCTTTTCTTATAAGTTTAAAAGTAATCTAATGATTGTAAGTTTGAATCATACCTAAAGTGCAATATGATTTTCTAGTTCTTTAAGGACTTGGTGACATTGAGAACACTGGAACTGTAAGTTTATGTTAGGTTTCAGAATTGAAGTCATTATTTTTTTTAAAAAGGCAGAAGTTTAATATAAAGAACATCTGAGCTATCATAGGAGAGTAACTGCAAGATGTAACGAGAACTTTAAAAGCTTCTCTGTGGCTCACAGAGACCATCTAAGGAAAGAAGTACTTAGAAAAGGTCCTCCTCCCCAAGGATGGGTTTTAGAAACCTCACATTAGAAGGTATGCTTGAAGCCTCTTAGATGGTGGTAAAGTTCTCTGGGTTGCCTGAGCAAGATCTGTTCCATAGTCAGTGGGCAAGGAGGAAGTAGCCTTTCCAGGTGCAGATAAGCCTTAGCTCATGTGCAGGAGCACACAAGGAGCTGCACAACCACGGCAGTCAGGAGACCAAGGGCATGGGGTGCCCTCCTTGGGAAGCCCACAGGAAGATCACCAAGAGTCTGCATGACCCTGCCTGTGGCTGGGGAGAAGCAATATTAGACATCCTTTTATCCATGTGGCTGATCAGTGGGGCAGACAGAACCAGTAAGCAAAACTCCATCCTCCTGCAATGTCCTTTCAGCACCCCTCATTTACCATCACTGTGAAATAGAAATGCTTAAAAAGCCCAGTCCATTATGGAAGAGTAGATATTACAGGGTGAATCTGGAGCTGAGAAATAATACATACTTATTTAATTCACCATGACTTCATTGATATTTAATAGCACTGAGGGCACTGTTTCATTTGTTCTAATGAAACGTGGAAGAATAAGGGACAGACATTTGCTTTGAATTATTCAGCATGGCAACATGAGTCCTACCTCCTGACTTTGGGCCATTTAATTATTTTATGTCATCTTCTATAGAGAGAAAATCAGGGAAACCAGTGGAGATACTACCTTAACATTTTAAATATGGTAGAGCATTCAAAGTAGCCTATTTTGCTACTAATTTGTGATACTTGTGTGATACTTGTGATTTTGGTTGAAGTGAACAGCCAAAATGAAATTTTACAAAGATGCTGAAATTTAACCAATCATTATCATGACCTTTCTCTTCACTTCAGAATTGTAATGACAAAAAAAAAAAATAGAAAACAAATGTGCACCAACGCAACCATCGATAAATAAATAGAAGTATTAAAAGAATAATGCACAGAAGTGGAAACTAATTTACTTCGAGTTACCTGTATCAACATAAGTGAATCATTCAAGCACAATGTTGAAAAACAAAAGTAAGCTGGAGAAGACAGAAAAGCTATATAATTTAAATAAAGACCTAAAATAACTGAATAAAAATCCACAGTATTAGCCCAGGTAAAACTACAAGGAGAAGACAGAAGACAGTGATAAATGATGGTACCCAGAGCTGAGTTAGACCTCCATCTCCCCTTCCCAGTACACAGCTCAGGTCACCTTTTATCTTGTTTTTTTGTTTTTTGTTGTTTTTTATTTTTTTACCACCTGATTCAAGTATAATGACATCATCAATAGCATTGCTGTTTTATAAATATCTAACTTTCTTGTAGGCCAATGAGGGGAGGGTTTGGCTTTAATTCAATATTGCAACCCTTAAGATTGGCACATGTGGGGTGTAGTATTAATACCTATTTGCCAAATACAGAATTAATAATAGTGGCAAAGACAGTCTAATGAGGTGGCAAGGAGCCTGACCCTGAACTTGCGGGAGCTTGGCATGAAAGTGCTGAGGGCCCTGTAAGGAAGGGGCTTGGCAGAGCTATATATTTCCACTGGCCTGCATTGCCGAGTTATCTGTTTGCAGTTGTGCTTGGCACCCTTGTTAGAGTGTGGATCCAAATGGGACCTAATGGGTTTGAGGGTTCAGAAGGCAAGCCCAGCAAGGCACTGGGGCAGTGAGGGTATCAGGAGATGAGTATGAAAGGTCAATAATAGGGTTTAAACTGGTTAGAGAAAAACAAGAAGTCAAGGGAGAAAATGGGAGTCTTGTGCTGAGTGGGTGCAGTCACATGTCTGATGGGAGTGAACAAACTGAGAGCTGGGATATTGTGGTCAGAGAAGGAGTTAGAGGTACAGGTGTTCTAGGTGACAACAAGATCCAAGGGTGGATGACATAAAAATCAGCAGAACTGAGGATGAAATGTATTGTGAGGAGTGAATTTCATGTACTATTTATGTTATTGTAAATTGGGGGCAAGAAAAACAAGTTAAAAGAAACTGGAGTCAATATACAAAGAAATATTGATCCTAAAAATATCAGAGATATTTTAGAAATCCATGAATGAAGTATATTGATATAAAATACATTTATAAAACAATGAATAGTAACTTAGTGACTTGCAACAATAGAAATATAAACAATAGAAGCATTTTTCCTTTCAATTATATTAAAGTAATGCATCTTCTTTTGACCTTAATCACATTTCTGTTCTCATAAACAAAGTGTGTGTTTAAATGATAATAGAGGGAAATGTCAGTAGCCAAAACTATGTGGACAGAACATAAGAAATTGATGAGTATATATCAATTTGATATATCAGATTGGTTTATACCCCACAAAGGGATAAAGCTAGTCTCAGCACTTTTGTTATGGATGAAATAAAGCAGGAAAATCCAAAGTCCTCTGGAGAAGTTCCAGCAGGTATTAATAAAAATATACATTTCTTCTAAAAACAATCTTCATCCAGAAACTTCTAAGAGAAGCTAATTCAATACTACACACCAAGAAGTCAAATAAAATTAAAAAGTATAAATTCAGGAAGAAATAACACATAGTGCTCTAAGAACTCAGAACACAGAAAATACATATTTTATGTTGCTTCATAAGGTACACTGATTTTGAAAACAAGTGATAATCTCCTCACTAGAATAACAAAAATAATAGCTCTTTGTTAGACACTGGAAAGTATAAATTTGTGCTAAATTTTAAGGTTGGCTAGGAAAAACAACTTTATGGAAAACTATCTTGTTCCAGGCATAGTACATTTAGTAAAAACAAAGCTGTTTATAAATTTCTAAGTAATTCTAAGATTTTTCTGAGAATATTTTTTATTGGACTTAGAACATTAAGAATAATATTACTTGAAATGATTACCACGAGGTTTTACCAGCAGAAAATCAAATGCTTACGTATGGTTCATGAGAGTTAACACTTGTACAGTGAAGGTTTCTACCACTTGACAGTGATAAAGTCTTGGTTGCTAACCACAGTGAAATTGGTCCTAACAAGTGGTTTTCACAGCTTCTCCAAATAGCTAACAATGACTGTTTATGGGAATTTTGCCTGTGGGTAAGGAAGGAAGGAAGAGAGAGGTGTGGAAGGAGAGGGAGAAAGGAAGGGGGAAGAATAAGGCACATCTTTGGGAGAAAAGCTTTAGGTAACATTTTCTTAGTCTGTTTGGGCTGGTATAGGAAATACCATACACCAGGTGGCTTGTAAACTACAAAAATTTATTTCCCACAGTTCTGGACGCTGGGGAGTCCAAGATCAAGGTACTGGCAAGAACCCCATTCCTGGGTGGTCATCTTTTCACTGGTACACCCCACCTCTCCCTGGAACCTTTCATGAAGGTGTTCATCTCACTCATGAGGGCTCCATCCTCTTGACTTAATCATCTACCACAGGCCTTGCCTGCTGATCCATCACCCTGGGAGTCAGGATTCATCAACACATGAATTGGCAGGTGGCAGGTGGGAGGTGGGCGGTGGTGGAAGGACAGGACACAAACATTCAGTCTGTAGCAAATATAAAGTTGTAAATTGATCAGACACTCTGAAAAATCTATATACCTCATTCTTAATATAATATGAGATGTTCAATTTAGTCAATAAATCTTTTTTTTTTAAGATTTTATTTATTTATTCATGAGAGACACAGAGAGAGAAAGGGACAGAGATACAGGTAGAGGGAGAAGCAGGCTCCATGAAGGGAACCCAATGTGGGACTCGATCCCAGGACTCCAGGATCATGCTCTGGGCTGAAGGCAGACGCTAAACCGCTGAGCCACCTGGGATGCCCCAGTCAATAACTCTCTTGATCAGAATGCAGTAGCTAAAGGTTAATGTTTCAAACTGGTAAATAAATGCTAGATAATATGGTAGACAAATAAGAGCTCCTCTATCCATCTTTTCTATCATAATGGACATGGGACACAAGAGTTGAATTGAAAATATTATCTAAAGGTGTTCAACAAATTACGTCAAATTTACAGACTGTTCATTAGGAAGCTTCCATACAGTATATAGAACATCTGCCTCAGTTGCTTTTTAAAAAATCTATTGTTGATTTTTGAGTCCAGGACAGAGTATTTAGTCAACATTACAAACCCAATTTTTCTTTTCTGACTTCAAGATATCCTGAACGAAATCTCCCCAAGTGCAGAATCAGAAAAATCTTTTTTTTAGTGGCATTGTTTTCCTTTGCTATGCTGTGATTGTGCTCAGCACACCAATCAGTGCACTGAATAGGGCTTAGAGATCAGGATAGATGCCTCTATCTAAGGCTCTTTAGCTAGTCAGAAGCCCCAAATCCCAAACAATGGATAAAGGGAGGGATACAGCACTTAGATAACTAAACCCAAAGTATTCATGAGCCACACTGCAAACAAAGAACTGTTCTCTTCATCTTTAAATGATGGCTCCATACTCTGGTGAGCCCACCCTGCCTCTTGGGAGTACAGGAAGCACTAGGACTTCAGTTCCACTTCCTATTGCAATCAGAACCAGCTGCCTGTGCGCTTTTGGATGAGTGTTCGTTACCCACAACTTGGAAGTGGATTTTACTCCACTCACCCAAATATTGCCCCATGGATGGATATCTCTTGAGAGTTGACATCCTATGAAAATTATTATATACTTTCAAATTGCTTCACCTTTAATAATCTCTAATTTAAAGATCTATATTACAAGATTCATGATGTGTTTGATATTTAAGCACATATGGGCAAAAGCTAGGATCCTTCAGTAACCACAGTGCTTCCCCACATGCTCTTAGAAATTCGTTGGTAAGTGACAATGACAAAGTCCTATAAAAATTCTTCCTCTGGGACACTCTCCAGAAGCTCTGTATAGGACTGGCTTTTGGTTAATGATTTTTATTTACGTCTCTCAAATTCTACTTTGTTGTAAAACTCTTCATAGGATCTTACAATTCAGTTACTTATTAACACAATCAATCATAAGGCAACATAAATGGGGCAGCCCGGGTGGCTCAGCAGCTTAGCGCCGCCTTCAGCCCAGGGCATGATCCTAGACCGGGTGGCTCAGCGGCTTAGCGCCGCCTTCAGCCCAGGGCGTGATCCTAGAGACATGGGATCAAGTCCCATGCCAGGCTCCCTGCATGGAGCCTGCTTCTCCCTCTGCCTGTGTCTCTGTCTGTGTGTGTGTGTGTGTCTCTGATGAATAAACAAATAAAATCTTAAAAAAAAAAAAGAAAAAAGGCAACATAAATGGTAAGTTTCAGGGTTATGCTACTAAATTTCCTTTTTTATTCATTTTTATTTTTATCATGGTAATAATACTTAACATGCTATCTACCTTCTGAACAGATTTTTTTTAAGTGTACCATAAAGTATTGTTAACTATAGGCATAATGTTGTACAACAGGTCTTGAAAATTTATTCATCTTGCATAACTGAAACTTTACACGCATTGATTAACAACTCCTCATTTTACTCTCCTTGGCCCCTTGCAACTACTGTTCTACTATCTGCATCTATGAGTGTATTTTAGATACCTCATAGAAGTGAATCAAGTAGTATTTGTCCTTCTGTGACTGGCTCTTTCATGTAGCATAATGTCCTCATCATGCTAAACTAATTTTGTCAATTGAGTGAATAAAACTGACAAATGGAAAAGCTTTCTATACATACAAGGTGACAAAAGCTAATAGGAACTATTTCCTGGAAGCAAACCCGGCCCATCTCTTAAATCTAACAGGTATGCCTTAATGTTGAAGCCATCCTGTAAATAATGTACACATCCATTTTAGTAATATTTTAATCTTTGTGGACCTGAAACCCTTTTGTACTTTTCTTAATCAATATTTCTACATAGCAAGTTTAGAGGCTGAGGTCACTATTTCTGCTTGAACGTTATCATGAAGCTTTCTTTTGTTTGATTATTTATTTATTCATGAGACACAAACACACACACACACACACACACAGAGAGAGAGAGAGAGAGAGAGAGAGAGAGAGAGAGAGAGAGGCAGAGACACAGGCAGAGGGAGATGCAGGCTCCATGCAGGGAGCCCGACGTGGGGCTCGATCCTGGGTCTCCAGGATCATGCCCTGGGCTGAAGGCAGCACTAAACCACTGAGCCACCTGGGCTGCCCTATCATGAAGCTTTCTGCACAGGGATGCATATGACCAGCTCCAGGGCTGCCCAAACATCCTTGTGCATGAATCAATTCCTAATAGAAAATCTTTAAATCTTTCAGGTCATGCAGATATCAGGGCATTATTTAGTAAAAAGTTAGCTTTTGGGCAATGACCATAGTGAACAGGGTAAGGGCTATACATGAAAAATACCCCAATCAAATCTGGCACTAAAAAACCATGATATACTACATCTTTTCAAAAGTGTATAGTGATTGCTTCATGACCACCTATATGGTAGTTTATGACACTTAATGGGCTTTAATATAGATTTTCTGCAAGTTGGCTTTTTCATCTTTCCCAGTGAATACTCTTCCATCTCTTTACTTTTATCTCCTTAACTTCTCAGCCTCCAAACTCTGGTGTACTCTCCAGGTCTCAGTCAGTGGACCTCTTCTCTTTTCCAGCTGTGGAGTTCTGATCCAGTGTCTGATAATGACTCCCACATTTACATCTCTAGCTGTGACCTCTCCTTTGAATGCCAACTGTCTCTTTGACATCTATAGTTGAATGTGGAATAGGAAACTCAAACTTAACAAGTCCAAAAACTCCTTGTGTTCCCGCAACAAGTCTGTTACTTTGTCTCAATCTATGGCAACTCAGATTTTAAGTTACAGGGGCCTCAAGCCCTGTGAATGAAATTCATTAGCAAATCCTGTTGGCTTTATCCTGTTGACACTGTGCACCACTTCTGCTACTATCTCATGCATGGTCTGTGTTACCACCCACTCTCACTTGGTTTGCTGGAAAAGCCTCCTATCTGACCACCCTGTTTTCTGGTCTTCTCCCCTCTATTCTATACAGCAGGCAGAATGAGGCCATTACAGTCAGAAAGTGTCACTTGTTCAAACCCCTTCGAAGGCTTCCTATATCAGGTCCAGTAAAAGTCAAAGTCCTTAACAACATGTCTCATAAAGCCCTTCCCTCTCTCCTGCTACCTCCCCTCACCCACTTACTCTACTTCAGCTCACTCAGAATACAGGGGCCAGCCTTGCTCGAAGTCATTCAACAAGGATGTTTTGAAGCCTAACTGTCAGGTCTTTTGACTAAAAGCCCATATGCTTTGTACAAATGTATGCCAATTAACCCGCATATAGCATTCCTACCATCTTTGAGGCAGGGCCTGGTTTTCAAATTACTTACTTTCAACCCCAAAAACCTACTAGCACATGAAGAGTACAAAAAATGTTCATTACATATAAAGAAAAGAACTTCATCCAGAAAAAAATGATAATCACTTCCTGCCTAGATTGTGAGCCTATCCAGGGCAAAGTAATATTTTATTCATTCGTGGCTCACCAATGATATAGGTTTGGTGCCTGGAACAAGGCAGGAGCCAAATGTATGTTTCATCAAGGAACAGAACTATATCAAGTTAACCTGAATCAAGATAATAAAAATGTTGACAGTACAGCCAAGATACCTAATGGAAACTCTGCTACTGTATAAATCTATGGATGCCATAAACTGAGGAAGGTGAAGGCTTGTTCTTCAACAAAAATTACACTCTTGATCAATAACACTGTGGTCAACCCCAGGTGCTTGCCACACGCCAGGACCTCTGCTTGATGCTTTTCATGCACAATCTTACTTAACTGCCACAAAAGTCCTTTAAGACTTTTTTATCACCATTTTACAAAATTTGAGTGTATTCTGAGAGGTAGGATGACTTCAAGCTTATATATATTCCTTTATCAGTCAGTATAGAAATCAGGCCTCTTGACTTCAACATGATGCTCTTCATCACACAAATGCTTCTTTTAAGCATGAAAAATAATAAACGTCATAATATGTTTGTCTTGCCTCCTACAGTATAAATGAATGCAAATATTCTGGCTCTGAAACTTACAGCCTTCTCTGACATTTCTTCACATTCTTCTGTATTTACTTAATTCTTACTTAAACACTGTTATACAAGTAGGCACTTCCAAATGGGTAGAATCTTTTAGGGATGTAATTTGGACATATGAATTTAAGGTCTTTAAAATACTTTTAGAAATGCATCATACTTAGTCACAAAGACTTATGGATAAGAATGTTTAATTCAGTGGAGTTTATACCATCAACAATCTGGAAATTGCTAAACTGACCAAAATGACATTACTTAAATCTTGAGGGAAAAGTGGAATGTTATATATCCAGGAAACACCATGTGTTTGAACAATAGTTAACAACTTGAGAAAATACTTAGATAACCAAGTATAAAAAGCAGTAACAAAAAGTAACCAGAACCACAAGAGCAACAACTAATATGACCTGAACGGTGAGTGAGTGCCAAGAACTGTCCTGGGCACATTACTGATTTATCTCATTGAATCATGACCACAACCACATGAACTGGGGACTCCGATAATCCTGATTATACACATGGAGAAATACAGGCACAGAAAAGCATTTTATATACAGCATCTCAAATTTATGAAAAACATGTATACAAGGAAATAATGACCTAAAAATAAACCTTTTAGCCAGGATACTTTAAACAATTGATGATCATATAGTGGTCAAAAACCTGTAAGCTGGGATCCCTGGGTGGCGCAGCGGTTTGGTGCCTGCCTTTGGCTCAGGGCGCGATCCTGGAGACCCGGGATCGAATCCCATATCGGGTTCCCGGTGCATGGAGCCTGCTTCTCCCTCTGCCTATGTCTCTGCCTCTCTCTCTCTCTCTCTGTGATTATCATAAATAAATAAATTTTAAAAAAAAAAAACCTGTAAGCTGACTATCATTGAAAATTTGATTGCAGTTTAATAAACTTTTTTATTTGGGAAAATACACACTTACAACCTGAACATTCTACTCAAATTATAACTCACTATGCCTAGTTGTTAACGAAATAAAAATAGTATTGGCCTCATATTTGCTCAAATTCTCTTTCTCCTGCCACCACTCCCAACTTTGTGCATTTTCTTTCCCACTTTCTTTTGAAAGTGGAATCAGAGAAGTTTTTCCATTCATATTTCTGAGAACTTGTTGCAAATGTGTAACTAAAACAGCAAGCGAAAACATAAACTAATTATGTCAAAGGTTCTTGCAGCATTTCCCCTTAGGAATTATCTAGTGTTGTTTTAAACCAGTTATACTATTTTGGGGAGGAAAAAAAAAAAACCCAGGTATTAAATTTATTGTCCTTGTAAGATTTTTGAAACAGATACATGTTTTGATAGCTCAGCTTGAAAATACACTTTTCTACTAACTTTCCTGCTTTTCAGGGCCATGTAATAGTTGATGTCATTACCTAAGTGTCTGGAATGGTAGTTAGGCTTGGGATTTGTTTGCAATCAAATTAGGTTAAGAAAATGTTTACAGTACTTCTCTGTCCTAAGAGAACTCACACAATCAAAATGTCCTTCTAGTACTTCTCACTGGGAGGAGCACACCTACTAAATCAGTTTTCTGGGGGAAGGTGGCAGTGGAGGGGATCTAAAAACTTATTTTGAACTGTAGCTACCTGTACAGCCTGGACTAGTTTCTATCCTTGCATGTATGTCACTATATTTAAGTGTTGCAGAAACACCTACTGTCTACTCTAGAAGTAGGAGAAGCACAATGTTCTATTTGTCTTTATTTATATATATATACAAAATATATAAATATGTATTTTGTGTGTATATATATGTGTGTGTGTATATATATGTATACACACACAGGTTGTTGGGTTTTTTTTTTTTTTTTGAGAGAGAGAGGGAGACTGGGAGTGAGGGCAGAGGGAGAGACAGAATCTTAAGCAGGCTCCACATCTAGCATGGAGCCCCATATAGGACTCGATCTCATGACCCTGAGATCGTGACCTCAGCCACAATCAAGAGTCAAATGCTTAACTGACTGAGGCATCCAGTCTTATAGTCTTAAGCCCAGTCTACTTGCTTGAGTACTCAGTTGCCCTGAAGCAAGTTCTTTTTATACTCTGAACTTCAGTTTCCTTTTCTGTAAAATGGTTGTAAGAGTATGACTACACAGATGTACTGTGAAGATTAAGTGAGATCCTGCATGTGGAAGCACCTGGAACATCAGTTCTCAATTAGTGCTAACTTGAATCTGAATCATTCCATGCATCCCTGCAACACATATCACAATAGTAAATCAGCCCTGAGCAAAAGGACTCATAGCTAAATCCTCAATAAATGATTACAAAATAAATAAATAAAATAAACATAAACTAGACCAGTGGTCCTGTGAGTTACAAGAACTTTAAGGTCATGATGAAAATTATTACCTTTATCCCTATGTGCTCACATTCAATTTTGCGTGGGATGTTAGGGACTCTCCAAACCCCCTGAAGCTCAGTCATGGTCCCTCAAGTCTACAGGTATCAGTAGGGAGGCCCCTACTGTAAACAATCCTGTAAAAAGACTAGATCACTTAGGCCACATGAATTGGCTTCCTTCTCTGACCACTATGGTATAGTCTTCCTAAACTACATAAGGCTCTGGCCATTACCATTCAAGCCTGGTAACCTGTCTATAAAACAGCTATCAACCATGGAGTGTCCTCCCTGGAACCTGAGTAGAAAGAGACCAAAATGTAAAGATCCTATTTTGCTGGATTGTTTTTTTGGGATTTAACATTATATACAGGAAAAAAAAAGTGCTTCTTCTTATTCACCATAAAGACAAATATTTACAAAGTCAGAGTAGACTTTTTTTCTCAATTAGGGTTAGAATTTATGTCAGAGAGCTCCTGAGCACACATAATAAGATGCTGATTCTTTCCAGTCTTAACTAATGCCGAATGTGTATATCCCTCCAACTGAACCACCTAATGTTTATTTACATGTTCAAGTATCATTGGCAAATATTTTAGCTCTCCTGCAGTTCTGTGCGTCTGGAGATCTGAATGAACAATTTCTGGACAGCATCTGGTAAAACTGGCTATGAATTTGCCAGGAATTTTCCTGGAGATAATCTTTACTTAGAGGATTGTTTCTCCATACAACATTTCTCTGGAGATCCCTTGTGTATACTTAAATAGAACTTTCTCAGACCCAGATTCAGGCACTCCTTTTTCCATGTTTTAAAAATACCTGTAATGTGACACTCATAAAATTACAGTGATTATCTGTTCATGTTTCTGTTTCACCTTCTATATTGTAAGAGGTCCAAGGGAAGAAGTTATACCTTCACTTTTGAAAACCGAGAGCCTATCACAGTGCCCGTTTATAAGAGAAGCCACGGAGGGAAGATATAAACATGAAAGGCATGTTTATCTTCTTGCCTTCAAGAAGTTCAGAGTGGGATGATCAAAATAAATACTTTTAATGCCATATAATATTATCCAGACTGGTGGGGAAGGATGAGGAAAGCTTTCCCCTAGGATGTATCATATCTGAGTTGAGCTTTAAAGAAGGAATAAGAGGTCATCCCCAAAGGAGGACAATGGATAAGGAGAGTGGTGTGCGTGTTCCGGCAGCAGCAGCACCTCTGAAGGGCAGGCAGAGTGATGGAAGGAATGGCAAATAGCTCTGGATAACTACTATGTCACGTGAAGAAAGGGTAATGTCGAGAGATGAGACTGGAGAAGGCAGAGGAGCTTGAATAGGACTAGCTTTTGAAAGCTATATTAAGAAGTTTTACTTTTATGTTAAAGGACAAATAGAACCAGTGTAGAGATTTACACAGAGGTGTAGCATATTCTGGAAAGATGACCCTGAGAACAGATAATGATTTGGGGAGTGACAATTTTGAAGGCAGAGAGCTAGCAGGAAGGCTATTTAAGTATGCCAGGTGTGAGCACAGAAAAAAAGGCAGTGGAACTCAAAAAAAGGAGTGTAGCAAGGATGCAACCACTGGCTATTGGGGGGAAAAAGGAGAAAGAAGAGTTGACAACCACTCCCAGCCTTCAGGCCTACCTCAAAAGGTGCCACTCACCAAGATGCAGAGCATGCTAAAAAGTTTCCTCCTTTGATGTATTAAATTTAAGATGTCATTGGGGTGCTTAAACAGAGAAGCCCAACAGGCAACTGTCCACACATAGGTGTTTAGAATGTAGGGTACCACACATAGGTGTTTAGAGTGTAGGGTATTTCAAAAATAGCCTTCCAAGTCAGTAAGAAATAATCTTTCCCAAAGTGTGACTACAAAAGGGAAGAAAAATAAAGCAAGTAATTAGAATTCCAAGAGACTTCAACTCTGAAACAATAGCCTTCACTGACTCATGTATGATTTATTAAATTTTGAAGATTTTAAAAATTTAATGGGAAATAACACTTGACGGTAAATTCAACAAATTTATTCCTTATTCAGTCACCTTGATAATATCTGATCGGTAATTCTACAACTTTTGATCTCTGGTGATTGGTGAAGGTAAGTCAGAGATTTAGGAAGGTAGGTCCAGGATATAATCTATTGGCTTAGAATGGGCATTCAATGAAAGTGCTTCAGATACTTAAAATATGCATTGGTTTCTTCATTCAACCATGCAATTACTCAAGGCAGTAAGTCAGTCTGCTTCTCAATATACTGTCAGTCTTCCCACACACATCTGTTGCTTTGAAGGATATTCCAAAGATTCCATCTGGACAAGACATACTACCTCTCACCTACCTCAAACCAACAACAACAACAAAAAACCCCACACCTCCTCCTTAAGGCTCAAGGGCACTTCCTCTCTTCAGTTTCAAAATAGAGTTTCTCTGTAATATCTTGTTGAAGGGTGTGAATCAAAAGGAAGAACTTGCTTCTACTCAAACTAGAAGCAGCTCTTTACTAAAAAGAGGGACATACCTCATAATAAAGCTAACGAAAGATGTGCAAGATTGCCAGGAAAAACCACAAAACTCTACTGAGATAAGGTTGATAAAGACCTAAAGAAATGGAGAAAAATACTATGTCTAGAAGGCACAATATTGCAAAATGTGAACGATTACTAAACTGATTATAGATTCAATGTTATTCCAATGAATAGTCTAAAACTTTTCGTGTAATATTTGGTAAGCAGATTCTACAATTAAATGAAAATGCAAAAGGCCAAGGAGAATAAAAATACTATGGAAGAAGAGAGTTTGAGAACTTATATTACCAGATATCAAGATTTAATTTACAGTTATAGTAATTAGAAGAGTGTGGCATCAGTGCAAGGATAGATAGACTAAACGAGCAGAACAGAGTCCAGACACAGACTCTCATACAATCAGTCACTTGATTTATAGTAAAGCTGCCACTGCTACCCTTTGGTCAAAAGAATGGATATCCACATGAGAAAAAAATGATCTTCCACTCCTACCTCACACCACACACAAAAATCATTGCCAGATGGATCCTAAACATAAAAGGCAAAATGACAAAGCTTCTAGTATAGCATAGGAGAAGATCTTCATGAGGTTGGATTATGTAAATATTTCTTAAAGGATAATAGAAAGCATATACAGTAATGCAACGGATTAATAAGTTAAGCTTAGAAGAACTTCCACTGATTAAAAAATACCATGAACACAGCAGATAAGCTATAGAGAAGGAAATATATTTGTAATATATATATCTGAAAAAGGACTCCTTTTTTTTAAGCCTCCTACAAATTAGAAAGGCAACGGGAGAGTACCCAACTTTTTAAGATGGCAAAAGACTTCAATGGGCACTTCATAAATGAGGCTATTCAAATGGCAGTAGGAAAACAAAACAAAAAAAATTGTCATAATTAGTGACCAGAGAAATACAAATTGAAACCACAAAGAAGCATTACTGCCTACCCCTAAATAGCTTAATAAAAATAATAAAATAAATTTTAAAAAACCACTGACACTATAAAGTTTTGGTGCGGATGCAGAAGAACCAGAATTCTTAAACACTGCTGGCAGGAATGTATATTTTTAAAGCCACTCTGGAAAACTGTTTGGCAGTATCCACGAAGCTGAACATATGTGTACCCGAAGACCCAGCAATTCTATTCTAGGCACACATGCACATATAGGTGCACCAAACATATATATATAAACATGTTCAAAACATGTTCATAGATGCGTTATCCCTAATAGCTAAAACCTAGAAATAACCCACAAGTGCATCATCAATAGAATGGGAAATAAATTTGAAAATATACAAGATAGAATTCCACACAGCAATGAAAAAGAATATATTAGTGCTACTTGCAACCTCATGTAGCAGCAACCCTCATAGACACAATACCGAACAAAAAGAAGTTAGAAAGCAAACTAGTACATGTTGCATGATTCCATTTCTACAGAAATTAAGAACAAGCAGCATTAACCTACTGTGGCAGAGGTCAGAGGTCAGCATAATGGTTACTTCGGAGAGGGTAAGGACATGGAGGAGACACAGGCTGGTTTCTAGGGTCTTGGTCATATTTGATATCTTGTTCTGAGTGGTGGTTACACAGATGTGTTCCCCTTGTAAAAGTTTTTTTAATTACTTATATAAGATTGTGTACTTCTGGGCAGCCCGGGTGGCTCAGAAGTTTAGCGCCGCCTTCAGCCCAGGGCCTGATCCTAGAGACCTGGAATTGAGTCCCACATTAGGCTCCCTGCATGGAGCCTACTTCTCCCTCTGCCTGTGTCTCTGCCTCTCTCTCTCTTTCTGTGTATCTCATGAATAAATAAATAAATAAAATCTTTTAAAATAAAATAAAATAAAAGATTGCGTATTTCTCAATATGTCTGTCATGCTTAGAAAATAAATAGGATAGGGTAAGTTAGATGAGTCAAGTGTATGGAATCATGGTATTCTACACTAATACACCTATAGCCCAAGGGTTTAAAAGATGTTTCTAACAATAAATATATATAATAATAATTATATGTAAGTATATATATATAAGTATATGTGTGTGTATATATAAATATACAGATATATAGACATAAATATATATATATATACACACACACACACACACACACACATATATGTTTGAAACTGGCAAAGGCAAGTGTTAATGTCCTTCCATACATTTAAAAGAGTAATTTTATACACCAGAGCCAGATTTTGGGCTCCATCCAGCTGAAGTTGTTAAGTGAGAATTCTCTGAGCTGTCAACTGCCCTTCTATTTTTTATTCCTAGAAACAGAGGTTATATCAGGGAAAAGGAAAAGCAAGGAGTTCTATTTCACTTGTTGCACTATCAAATAGACACCACAAACATTTGACCATCACGGTCAAAAGACATTTTCCTTCCAAGTCTTTTTGCTTGGTTTTAGGTTTCTCAAGACACTGTCTTAAATTGAGTGAATCTTTTAAAATGCTAATGTAGTAAGAAATCTTAAAGAAAAATTTTAGTTCACCATTTTAAGCAGAGGAAATCTGGAATGCTTTAAAACCAGATTTGAGTCTGGTCCCTCTGATTAGCACTAGCATTGCAAAAACCATATGCAGCAAACACTGTAGAGAGAAGCCACTGTAGAGTCTCCTCTGACTATAGAGAATATAAGCATCCCTGTTCTCTAGAAATACTTTTTACTTAACAGTAGATTGAGAGATGTAATTCAGCACAAAAGCGTTTGTGCAGCCATCTTGCAAAACATACAACTCTAGTTAAAACAACAGAAATTCAAGCAAATGCATTTTCAGATGGAAGTTTTATGTAAAACCATGCTGTCCATCATATATTTAACTGCACCAAAAATTTAATGGAAGTATTTGTACTTCACTTGCCTCTTTAAGAAAGAAATAACAACAAAACAAACACGAAGAAACCACAAGAACTGAAACATAAAAGATAAATTGAGTTAAAAGTATTTCGAGGTTATTATGGCATAAGGGTATTTTAGCTGATCACCAAGCTTTCAGAAAAAATGTCTAACTTAGGGGTTCAGAGAACTATTACAGAGGATACATCTCTTCCACCTGACCCAGAATTTCTCCCCTCATTTCTGTGGTCTTCCAGGTCACCTCATCTTGTCAGAGTCTCCAGAAAGCTCCTTCTTATTGCTTTTCAACCACTTGGTACCAAAGTGAAAATTCAAGTGTATAGAGGCTGAGACTTCCACATATGGCCAGCTGGCATATTTTTGTTGCTTGCATTTATGGGGGAACATTTTCCAGTTGACTTTTAACAACCTACATTTTCACTTATAGTTCAAAGCTGTCTCAGTTCACTCATGTTAGCACTGCCATTTTGTATAGCTAGTTTCCACAATCTAGATGGTAAATGTCTACATCTATGGATATGTTTTGGATAAGCTATCACTTTGATCTGTCTAAACAAATTGTCCACTTATGTTCTTTATTTACCCAGGAACATCTCTCTATAAGGAGGAAGCATTTTTATATTAAAATGAATCCTTAACTTTGTCCGTCAATAAAATATTGCTTTTCTCCCCTCAAGAGACTCTTAGCCAAATGTTTGATACAAACTCTACAAATTTTAGTGTAAATGAAGGCTTTTTTTAGAACACTGGTATTAAAAACTTGACTTATCTGTAGATACTACAAAAATTTTTATGTTTAACTTTTTTAAATACAGAAATGCAGCAATGAAGGTTAGTGTTAGCATCTGAGGAAAAGAATTAGTTGAGGGAAGCCACCCTGAACCTAATCCATAGTCAAAAATGATCTAATTGGAGTAAGTTTGAGAACTGGGAAAAGAAAATATATGGTCTCCTATTTAAGAGATATCCAAATGTTTTTTGGTAAAAACCAACAGATTTATTAATTCAATAAATATTTGAGGGTCTCCCTAAGTGTGATAGACACTGTTCTATGTGATGAGGATTTGATATGCTCAGGATGTAGTCTCTGACCTCAGTGAATGGAGAGTGAACTGGAGGCAAAAAGCACAGATAATGCACATATTTATTTGCTAGTACCACAAACTGAATGGCTTAAACAACAGAAATAGTTCCTCTCACAGTTCTGGAAGCTAGAAGTCTGAGATCAAGCTGTTGAGAGATTGGTTCCTTCTGAGGGTTTTGAGGGGAAATCTGTACCATAACTCTCCCCTAGTTTTTTGCTGGTTTCCTGGCAATCTCTGGTGCTCCCTGGCCTATAGAAGCATCATTCCAATCTCTGCCTTCTTGTTGACACAGTGTTCTCCCTGTTGTGTCTGTGTCAATTTCCCCTTTTTATAAGAACACCAGTCAGGTTGGATCTGGGGTCTATTTTATGCCATTATGACCTGCAACCACCCTATTTCTAAATAAAATTCATTCTGAGGTACCAGGCATTAGGATTTTGATATAGGAATATGGGTGAGGTGGACACAATTCAATCCATAACAATGTAGAAAGAAAGGCATACAAGCTCACTGTAATCATTCACCAGACTTTGAGGAAACCTTATGGAAAAGCCACCATATCCATAATGGCTTCCAATCCTACCACCTGTTTCCACAAGTCCATCCCCTATTCCTTTTGCTGCCCCAGTCGGAGTCTGGCTGCCCAGAGCCAGAATCTCAATGAGTGGGAGCAACTGCAACTGAGTGAGCAGAGAGCTGTGTGAAGGTCCTTGCCTTCTACTGAACTTCCAAAGTAAAACCCTACATCAGAACCCAGACTACTTAAATTAAAACACACAAACAACAAAAAAAAAAAAAAAAAAAAAAAACAAATCAGAGAACTCACTAATACATTCCCCTACAGAAAATGAACCATTTCACTTGTGTTGCCAATTCAAGGATAGAATTTTGCTTGTGGACACATTTTTTTCTGGAGCTGTAGGAAAAATATTGGTATCATTTGACACTTTTTTCTCAGTAAAATCTACACTTCGTGGTGTTTATAGTCAACTTGAGGAAGCATTCCAGCGATCATACTCCTAGGAAAATATTTTAGCCTTAAGGATGTATATGATATTAAAATTACAATACACAAAAGATTCCTGAACTTCCTGATTTTCTTCCCTGAAGGTCAATGCTCTATTTGCTCACACCCCGTGGGTTCATCAACAGCCTCATTTTAAAGATTTCTCACACCTCCCCCTTCTGAATGCCATGTAGAGCTCCACCTTCTCCCCTCACATGCTGCTCCAACTCAGTGTTGTCTTGAATCCTCTTTCTTTGGCCAAATTCCTTTGTTTTATCTGGCTTTATTGGCCTGGGATGCTTCCTTAGCCACTTATATTACTGTAGCTCAACCACGTTCTCAGAATTCTACTTCTGTTCTCATTGGCTGTGCCATGTTGCTCTGATTTTAAACAAAATTTAGTAAAAATAGAGAAATGTGGCAAAGAGCTGAGAGGCACAGTGAGAATCCTATCTTAGCTGAGCGAAACTGCTAACATGCCATTTACTGTCCAGAACAGATATCCCCATTTCTGGGGTTTAGTTCCAAGCTCAGTAGTTACAGCTCTGGGACACATTCAGGATATTCTATGACTTCTTAGGTTTCTCTGATTCAGCACTGAAAAACAAAAACAAAAACGTAAGAGCAATCACATCTGGGAAAACCTAAGAAGTCCTTAGTGAATCAAATGTCATAGACTCAGGTCTTTAGAACTACAAAGTGTCCCACTGAGACAAGAGAACACTGTCCTCCTGCTCAGATGGCATCCTCTGGATGGAAAGAGGGGTCCTCATGAAAAATAAGAATCCTTCCACTAAAATGAGGTAGGAAGAAAACACCACCCTCAGAATTAAAAGAAAGGCTGTGGTCCTTCACTTATTACTGTCAAGGGATTAGAGGAAAATAAGGCTAAAACCTTTATATAATAGGGCTGTAAGCACTTCAACTTTTTGGTGTTTCTATTTTTTTTTTTTTAGTACTGTTCCATCTGTTTCCATGGAATTAAATGATAAATTGTAAAACTCTTAAATAATAATGAAAAAAAAAGTCATCCTCAGGAGGCACTAGAAAGGTAACAAAGAAAAGTCTCAGAAACCAGCATAGACCTACTCTTGAGCTCTACATTTGCTTATCACATGGCTTTTGGGGAACACCTCTGGGGTTGATCAAAATAAAAACAGAAGTCCCCCTCCAGCATCTACAGCATCCCCAGGAGCAGCTGCTGCAAAAGATCAGAAACACTGTCAATTCCTTCCATTTAGGGCAGAAAATAAAGGCAAAAATATTTTGATGGGCAAGTATTTTTCACTCAGTTACTCATAAGAATCCTGGCCAGTGACCAAACCTCTTCCAAGGCTCTAGTAATTCTCCTTTAGTGAACAATTTTGGGCTAGAACTTATCAGGAAAAAGGACATTCAGTAGCTCATTTTAGAAAACATCTATATTTATCACATCTGCCCTGTCAATGCTATAAATGAAACCTTGATGAGCTAAAACAGTGAATTTCTAAATACAGCCATATACTTCACCAGGCAAAGGCAGAATGGATATATACATTCTACCAAGCAATGTGGTTCTTTATGTGGCTGGACTTAATGTAGCTAATCAATGTCACCTTAGGATCCAACAGTGATGGTTAGGAGCAGACTTTTCAATCACTCATAAGATCTACTATGTCTGTCTCCCTATACTTCCATACTGTTTTTTAAGTGTTTGGACCTGACACCCCTCTTAGACTACAACATTTTTGAAGGCAGGGACTGTATATTACTTGTCACTGTATTACTATAATCTAGCATCGTGGTACATAGTAGGTATTCAGAAAGTACTTGTTAAGTAAACAAGTCAACTAATAAAAATGGCTATTTTTCCTTGCCATCATGTTGATTTTAAACATATAATCTGGTGATACTTTCCAAAAGAACAGATTCGCTGACAATGACCTAAGACATATCTGTATGCTAGGTATTTGTGCCTAATGTATACACACATTTTTGGGACTCCGGTATAATATAAAAAAATAATAATGTGGCAATCAGATTAATGGAGTTTAATTTTTTCTTTGATTTTGGTTTTGATAAAATACTAAATGACTACTTGACATGTCTACATCTATCTCTGCTTATAACTAACCTTTGTATTTTATTAAGTCAGGTATCTATTAACTAGGATGAAAAAATAAAGGTGTATGATAGTTATGAAAAATATCACCAGCCACTATTATTTTATTTAGGACACTTATATTCAGAGTTCATAATGTCAAAATGAATGCAACAATGAAAAACTAACACAATCTCCCATTGAGTATATTGGGTCTACAGTCTTTAAAAAAATACCTGGAGTCCAGAAAGAATGACATTTCCATGTTAACATCTCCTAGACGTTTTAAGTCATTCTTCTGACTGAAAATGTTTGCTCAGGCATTATTAACTCAGGAGTCACGGTAGATGGTTTCTATGGAGATTACATCTGACAAGCCTTTCTGGACTCCATCTCTCTGATTTTCGAGCCCCATGCCTATGCTGTCCTCCATCAGTCTTGGGCCTCTGCAGATCTATACCTGCTTCAAGCTCTATTCTAGAATGAATTCATGCCCTTAAGCATGATCTTCCTCTCCCCACCCTTTCAACTCAATCCTCTTTCTTCTAACCAATAATTCTCCAGAAATTAGGCTAAAATGGTAGAAGGCAAACAATGTGATTACCTAATTAGAGTAATTCACACAATGGTGTGAATAATTGATATGTACCACTCTTTCGGGCTACTTGTACTGATGGAATGTTCTCTCCAGGATTACTTTGATCATTGGGTTCAGTGATCCCCCAGATGCCTCTGCATGTACTCTCTCACTATCACATTTTCTCACTTTGTTCCCCCAAAATAGAAATTTAAAGAATAAAAGTCAGTAATATGACATCCCATTTTAATCAACTTACCTAAATACCTGCTACTCAAAGCCGTTTAACATATGTAAAAAGAGTTCATAAGAAAAATCAAAGCTTCTCAGATATGCATACAAAGATGATACAAAATAAAATTCAAACTTTTATAACAATAAGCTTAAAGTAATTATGTAAGGCTGTAGACTTTAAGTATATTATTCTATTCTCCACTAGTATCTTATAAAATCTTCATCAGGGGGTATGTATTTTTAACAAAGGGAATAAAGATAGATCAGAATATTAAGAAAGCACTTTTAAAACTAGGTAGCTTTAACTACACAGTTTTATAATATGAATTCTTGTTATTTCCTAAAGTAAATGAATGCTTTTTTATTTTGTAGATTATAGTTTTGGCCAAATGTCAGTGTTTTTTGTGTTTTTGCTTTCCTTATAAAAATAGTTGATAGCATTTTCTATCCAAATCACATTGAGACAAAATGCTTTAGTTAAAAGAATAATTTTAATGAAAACAAACCCCAACCATCTCTTGAGACCAAAGTAAATAACCTGGGTCAATGGGCAGTCCTTGGAGTTTCCTAAGAGCGAAGGGAAAGCTTCTTCATGTAAATCTTATGGTTCAGAGAATCCACTTGGCAGTTATTGGAAGAATAGAAAGTACTAGCATAAGCAGATGCAAAAAATTAAGCTAGTATAGTCAGTGGGTGGTATCAGGGCCCATAAGATATATCCAAGTGTGTTGAAAGTTTCGACAATGCTGATCAAAGCTATAAAAAAGGTAAATACAGTTTTTAAAAGATTTTATTTATTTCTTTATTTGTGAGAGAGTGCACAAGAAGGGGGAGCAGCAAAGGGAGAGAGAGAAGCTGGCTCTTAGGACCCTGGGGTCATGACCTGAGCTGAAGGCAGATGTTTAACCAACTGAGCCACCCAGGCACCTCAGTAAATACATTTTAAAATCAGTATTGACACCACTGGCAAACAAACTGCTGTATTTGAATGGAATTCAACTCTGGCTGAATTTTCTTAAAAAGCTGGCTACAGGTCTGCCATTAACACACATGTTTTGGTTTGGCACTGGGCCTCCCAAACAACAAAGCAGGTGAATTCCACAAGTATACGTTTCTAATAAATCATTCTGTCAGTTAGACAGTAACATTTACATATCATCTTCCAATTCCTAATTGTCTAATCAGTTGCAAGACCAAATTACATAGTACTCAAAGCAATATAAAACACAGGCATGTAAACGGTATCACAATGGTTCATTGTACAGGTTTACCCTCCTCAGACATGCTATTTCTTTTTGGATAAAGAAAGCTCCATAATGATACCATTTCTATAAAGGCCCTATCCAAAACTAACCAACACAATATACTGCTTAGAAGTACATGCTATTTTTTAAAAAGGGGAATGATAAACACAAAACTCAAGATGGCAACAACCTCTAGGTAAAAAGCAGAAATATAGGATGGGAAAGTAACAGTAATAATAAGCTCAATAAGAACTTGTGCACCGATTTATTATACTGCTTTATGTTTATCATTTGTTCCATGACTGACCTTTGAAAAGTTTTTGTCTTGTTTAGAATATGGAATACCCTATGCAATAGAGCATAACAAGCCTGGATAATGCAGAAAGAGAGTACTGATATTTATTGTTGGTTAGAAATCCCTTTGAAAGCCTCTTTGGTCTTTGCAATATTTCTGGCTGAAAAGTTTGAAGTTTTCTTCAGGAGCAACAGCATATAAAAAGAGCTAATGATGCATTTTTACTTTGACGTTTGATATTTACTTTTTTCAAAAATAAG